ACCAGACCTGAGCCTAGAACCAGACCTGAACCCAGAACCAGACCTGAACCTAGAACCAGACCTGAGCCTAGAACCAGACCTGAACCCAGAACCAGACCTGAGCCTAGAACCAGACCTGAACCCAGAAACATACCTGAACTAACTGTGAACTATTTTCAGTTCTGTTTGTGTACCTCAGCAGACTTTGTGCTGTTTTAGCCTTTCAGCTCTCAAATGTTCGGCTCTTTCAGGAGATAGCTGTTTTTTATAACTTTTATTTAAAAATTTAACTTAATTTACAAACATTTCCTCATAAAATCACTGAAATATCTCTTTAATCCTTCAAAATGTTGTTGGTTTTAAAAACCTACTGCAGAGAACTGAGATCGTCTTCTCACTACTTTTAGCTTTCAGCTTGCCTTTTGCTACTTTTAGCTGGCCATTGCTAAAACATTCACCAAGTCTTCATGCGAGTTATTTCAATGTGGCGACCCATGAAGAAGGGAGCAGCCGAAAGAAGAAACAGACGTTTTGATATTTGGAGCTCATTTTTTCTGTTTTTTGATAATTAGCTAGTGTTTTACTACAACTGCTTCAAGCTTTTAGCTGGCTTTTTGCTCCTTTTAGCATTCAGCTAGTATTCTTCTTATTTGGTTTAGTGAATCAGTTTTAGCTCTGTCAACGGAGTTCAGCGGTCAGACTGCAGTTTTACAGGAAATATGATTTGTCTGGAACGGCCCCCCTGATCTGAACCAGAGTGGTGTTCTGTTGTTGGACTTCTGTGCTCGTCATGGATTGTCAATAACGAACACCTTGTTCAAGCATAAGGGTGTCCATATGTGCTCTTGGCACCAGGACACCCTAGGTCGCAGTTCGATGATCGACTTTGTCATCGTCTCATCTGATCTGCGGCCACATGTCTTGGACACTCGGGTGAAGAGAGGGGCGGAGCTGTCAACTGATCACTACCTGGTGGTGAGTTGGCTCCGATGGTGGGGGAGGATGCCGGTCAGACCTGGTAGGCCCAAACGTATTGTGAGGGTTTGCTGGGAACGTCTGGCAGAGTCTCCTGTGAGACGGAGTTTCAACTCCCACCTCCGGGAGAACTTTGAACATGTTCCAAGGGAGGTGGGGGACATTGAGTCTGAGTGGACCATGTTTCGTGCCTCTATTGTCGAGGCGGCTTACCAGAGCTGCGGCCGCAAGGTTGTCGGTGCCTGTCGGGGCGGCAACCCTCGAACCCGATGGTGGACACCGTCGGTGAGGGATGCTGTCAGGCTGAAGAAGGAGTCCTATCGGGCCTTTTTGGCCTGTGGGACCC